CCCTCAAGCAGAATAGGTCTCGGGTTTATTTGCCTCCACAAAAAACTCCACAGCTGAGAGAATGATAGCACACATACAGGCCTGTCCAGCCTCGCCTTGGCGTTTAAATCTGAAAACATGGTGCATGACAGCCCCTGGTGGCGAATAGGAGTAAATGCAGGCCTACTTGATCAAGTGCAGGTTTAGTGCTGCTATTGCGTGCATGCGTAATTTCTCTTAGTCCGGGTGTCCACTCAAACAATTCCCTGAATTATTATATTCGAATCTCAGTTCAAAATATGTACAATTGTTTTTTGACAATAGGTCTCTCTATATATGTCATGTAAGCACCGTCTCCCTAAACTAGGCTGTTTTAACAGTTGTACGTTCAGTATCTCATGGCATTCCATATGTTTCATGACAAATATAACGTATTTTTTTGTAATTCCTAATACTTGAATATTCAGATAACGTTACAAAGAATGTACGTCCATGCAATTCATACAATACATTGGCATAATTTACTCATGGCCTGCGGTTCCTGGCTGATGTGATTGTATATGATCTTGTTTAGATATATTACATTAACCCTAATGCACAGTACACTTCAATTAGTTGCCTTTACTTTAAAATAAATCATACACACTTATTATCTCGAAAAAAATTGGTGCTTAATGGGTTGAAGCTCAAATTACTTATTATTCTAAGGATATGGATAACATGGATCATAGTTTCTTTGTCATTTTTAGTGATCCACGCTTCTGCAACAAGTACATTATAAAAGCAAGAGTTAATTAACAGAAACCAAAAGAACCGCTAAGAATGCTGGGAAGCTGTTTTGACAAAAGACTAGTCTGTAGGACTGATCCAAATGAACTGATCTGAACAAGATTCACCTCCATAACTGAAAAATATACAAGAAACAGTAAGTGTAACTAGAATCGAATTATTATTTTTTACAAATTAGTAAAGACAAAAAAAACAAAAAAAAACACGGTATATTTATGTGTAGTAACTTTCTTTTTTAATTTTTATGCCTGATACGTGTAGAAATGTTTTGTAGAAGATTTTACAGACTGTTTCGTGTCTGTCCGTTAATTTCTGGCCGGCTTTTGGTTCGTATTTTCTGTTTTTAATTTAATTTCGTTCCAAAATAGTCCATTTGTAACAATATTTGGATACACCGAAAACACATTTTGTTTAGCGTTGTTTTTTTATTAGGATTTATTTGGATATTACTTGTAAAGCCTATCTCCAACAACAGCTTAAAAACTCTTGAAAATTTAGAACATATTTACATACTATGCAAAAGTTTTGGCACCCTGGTCAAACGACACTTTTCTAAGTGCAAATAAGTTTACACATTGTCTACAGCGAACAGAGCTTTGCACATTTTAATACACATTTTTTTCTTAAACTTAACATATTGGAAAAAAATCCAATTTTGTAACTCTAATATGTTAAACTCAGTAAGTAAATAGAAATTGTGCACCTAAATTTGAGAAAAAAGACCATATTTAGATTTGATCCCTGTGTAGGACGTGTACTTGCAATTGAAAAATAAGCAAAACATGCAATTTGACCAAACCTTGGATATACATATGCGTGTACGTCATGTAGTGTATTACACTTTATTTTAGAGTTTATGAACAAACAAGTAAGGAACAAAAGGAAATGTAAAAAAGCGCAGCGCGCTTTAAACGAGGTAGACTTCAAAACCGCTAATTTATGAAAATTACAGAAATTTTTCGTCAATTTTCTTTACCTTAAATTTTAAAGCTCAAAAAGACGAGAAAAGCAGCATTAGAGGTTTGGAATTCCAGAGATAATGAGATTAGACATCACTGGCTCATTGACCGTCTTTACGCTGCGTTTTAATATTTTTCCTTTCAGATTTAAAGGCGCTAGAATTTTTGTTGATTTGAAATTTCTTGGGTTTGTGGTTGTATTTTAAACTTCCTGCACTGGAAACTGAAATTCTCCTTTCACGACGGTAGCAACCTTTGTGTTTTCCCTGTCTGGACTGGGATTCCAAGACGGTCGTTTGGATGCGCCCAGACATCAGTGCACTAGACAGTGACCTTGAACTGACGACGCGCCAATGAGAAGCGTTTCTCTCCTTCAAAAACAAAAAAAAAGGGTGTGGGGACTTGAAAGCTAACGAGAGGAAAGCACAACAGTTTCAAAACATTCTCAGCAAAGCCTGCTCACATTTAGCTCCATTGTGTGTATGGAACGTTTTCGAAGACCTTACTTGCTCCTCGGACAAAGGTTTTGGTTGGTGGGTGACATATGCTGTACAGAATGTTTTTTTTTTTTCCGGCGTGCTTTTGGGGAATGTACACGCGAGGCCTGTAAGTCATTTACTAAACTCATAAAGAAACGCCTGACAAATGGTTCCTGTTACCAGAAATAACATTCATCGTGTTCAGCAATATTTTACACTGAATAACTCACAAATTCCATAGTCACTCTGTTCATGCTTTTTTCTTCAACAAATCGCCTCTTAACTTCCTTTGCTTGTTTGGCTGAACAAAGGCCACTCGTTTACATTTTGGGAAGACCGCGGATTTAACCTTTTCAATCTGGTGCTCATTCATCCACAGTTTATTTTTTCTTTTCTCAAGCGCTGTAGTATTTATTCCTTTACAGACTGTATTCTTAACTGACTGTATTCCAGTTCTTCGCGAATTAGGATACATTATTTGTCAAATTAACTGCTGTGGTGCAAAATAGCAAAAATCAAGATTCAGTTCTACTTGAAACCAAGAACACTGTAAAAATAATTCAGTGTTTTAGCTTAAAAAAAAAAAACTTAACCTGATTGCCTACAATTTTTGGGTTCATTGAACTTCTAATAGTAATTAAATAGATGGATAGAGAGATAGATAGAGAGATAGATTCAACTTTATTGTCATTGCTTAGTACAAGTACAAGGCAACGAAATGCAGTTGGCATCTACCACAAGTGCAAATTGTAGCAATAGTGCAAAACAGACAGTGCAAATGTGCAATAATAGGCATAAATATGACGTATCTATGAAATATATAATCATATGAACAATATATACACAATTATAAATATATCTATGAATGACATATACATGTATATTTGCACATACTACTATAAATACATATAAATATTTACATAAATACAAATAACAGAACAACAGTCTGTTTTACATTCTGTTGACTTATTGTTCGAAGTTCAATGAAATCAAAATGTTAATTACTTTTTAAAATTAAAATATTGACTCCTTTTTTACAGTGTCAAGTCAAGGAAAACCTACAATGTTTACATTTACACACTACTTCACCTATTAACGTAGGTTGCGTGCTATGACTGTCTTCACCAATACGTAATGAAGAACTTAATAAAACACACTGACATACTGCTATGGAATTATTAAGCAGTGTTACAATTGACTTTTTGAGCATTTGCTCAAGTTCTTAAACGATGAAAAAGAGCATGTTAGTGCGGATAAATATCCAACGTATGAGCCTTTTTTCTGTAACATTCACTATCGGAGCTAAAGTCTTTGCAATAGATTAATCTTTTCAAGCGCGTCATTAAACATTTTTTATGCAGGTGGTATAACAACGTCATAGCATGAATATTTTTCAACTAAACATCTCCACAAGAAGACTTTTTAAGCCTGTGAGACCTTCATAATCTACGGTTCGTAATACTACATGAGTTGAGGTCATATTAAATTGCCTAGTTCCATCACTTTTTTAGATAAAAAAGAGAAAGTGAAGGAGAGGAATGAATAAAACATTTCAGTGCAGCCAGGAAACCAACACAAAATGCTGACGCAGCAGGGATAAAAGGATTGATATATATATATATATATATATATATATATATATATATATATATATATATATATATATATATTATATGTGTGTGTGTGTGTGTGTGTGTGTGTGTGTGTGTTTGTGTGTCGCTGCTGTCGGAACAAACCCTCGTATCTCCAAAACGATAACTTTACAGGAGAAGGAAAAAACATACTTTAATTTTAATGTAAGTCAATGGAACCAGACTTTTCAAATCATTTTGGCCATTTCATTTGGTCCATTCATCATAAAAATTATGCACAATGTAAAGGGCAACAGGCATTTTCAAACTGTACGAAAAACTGAAAAACACCCAAAATTACATTTTCGTTAAGATCATTAAAATAGTCATCACAGAAATTTATTTATGCATATTTCAGTCCCACCCACTCGAATGTCACCGTATTTAGCTATTCAACATTTTAAACGTGGTGGATTGGATTGTTTTTCTAATGAAGTATAATCTCAGTCGCACGCGGATTTTATGTCTACGTAGCAAATAACCAGCACATTTGACGTAGCACCTTTACTTTACATGTCAAGCAATCACACAGACACAAATCTGCTATTGTTGCACTCTTTGATTAATTATGACAAATGCATATTGTTGCACTCCAATTCAGGAACTTGTAAAATCCAGATACAGGAGTTGTGATGTCTTTTATAACCAGGTTCCCCTTTGTTACTTATTTTATAGGGGTACCTACTGAAGATTGCCTTTAGATGCGAGAGATATCAGCAGAAATAAAGTCTAGTACGGTTAGACACAAGCCGCATTGATGTGCTTTTGTTTTTACAGAGTCACTGGCCTCTTCTGTATGACAGTGTTACAGGATTACATGATTGTAGCTTTGGGCATCTGCCTATCCCTAAAACTGGCCTGTAAAAAGGAGGCCTCGCCGCTTTATATGACACTCAGTTTATTTGTGAGTTCATCTAAAACCGGGTCCTTCACTCTATTGCTAAGAGAAAAAAGGGGTTTGAGTTTTGCTAACACTGGAAATGCAAACAACAATCAGTCAGCCGTGTGATTTTACGCACAGGCTCACATAAGCTAAATGAATACATCTACACGGTATTGTGTATTATGCGCCTTAAAATGTGCTTTTGGCTGACCACATGCTTTACTTCTAAGTCTTTACAGTGGGTTTAAACAGCTTATAAAACCCGTAAGACAGAAGTGAATGTTTTGTTTGGTCAGAAATGGAAGCCGGTGGGTGGCACCCTCTGTAGCGCGAGTCCATCGCCGCACGTGACTCAAGAACAGCCAATGGGGCGCGCCTCTCGTCTTAACTACGTTAAATGTCAGATTGCTATAAACTAGATGCTCTTGCTCGGGCCCGCCGAAATGGGCGAGCATAACCTCCTAAATAGCAGCTTTGTGGGACCTTTGGTGAACATCCACACCGGAGACACGTTTTACCTCCCAAACTTTCGTGCGTCTGGGGGACAACTGGCGGGTCTACCCTCCCTCCCATACCCAAGAAGGGACAATGTTTGCTCCCTGCCTTGGACTCAGTCGGAGCCTTGCAACGGATACAGCCAGTCCTTCTTTAGCAGCCCCGTGTCCCTGAACCCTGCATTCAACCGAGCATGTGAGATCACACGGCAAGACGAGAGCAAATGCTTTTACAGCGGCGCTGGAGGTGCTGGAGGTGGAGGTGGAGGTAGCAACCGAGAAAACTGCGCCGACAGCGCCAACCTCAAACGTGATGAGAGGGCACGAGATGACACAGCGCCAGAGCACGGACTGCACGGTTCCAGCATGATGACAAGCGGGAGAATATACTCCAAGTACGACTACGCACCCTCTGCTGAGCATCTGACCCAAGACCCTCCATCCTGTCACTCCCTGGAATCGGACTCTGGCTCTTCGCACAACGAAGGGGGCAAAGCACCGTGCACCATCGCGCATTCTCTCACATCCCCGGGCAGCCATGCGAGCATCACAGCTCCGGGAGGAGGTGAGTGGACCACAAAAAGCTCAGTGCACGTTTGCCAGCATGTTTTGTCTATTTTCAGATTTACAGGTAGCCCAACGTGAATACAAACGGTGCAACAGGGAGGGGGAATACTTGCAGATAGACACCACTAGGGGAGGCTTCAGAAAAGCATTCTAGCCCTTTACAGAACCGTAAACGCTTATTGGACTATAAAACAAGACATTGTAGTGCAGTGAAATAAGTCAGTCGCAAATATTGCCAAGCGTTCACTCATCAATGGACATAGATGCAGCACATCTCACACAATTGTAGCCAAAAAGTAGCATTGCTTTCAATAAGAACCAAGCTCCTAGGGTTGGGATTCATTGTTATCTCCTCACCCACCAATCAGGGTCATTGCTATATCAAGTGGTGGATGATAAGAACACCTCCAAGATATGCTAGACAGATATCCAATAAGTAGGCAAATGTTTCTTTGCGGTCACTCTAGTAGTAAAAAATATGAAACTATACGTTCAGTTGAAGACTTGGGCTGCTGTATGAGTAGCACATGGCTCCACTGTGCAAACCTAGAGCATAATATATGTGATAACTATCAAAACGCTTAAAACACCACATGGCAGGTTGGCTTGGGTCCACAGCAGCTTAAACCTCACTTGACGAGGCCCCATGCGCCCCACTGCTGCAAGAAAAACACAGCGCAGGCCCAAGGCTACAGTGCCATTAAATGTTGCATGGAAATGATAGTTGAAGTTTAGAACAAACAGACAACACTGAGCTAAAAGACAACGTATCTTTACTCTGACCGCTTCAGTCATGCGCTCACTTTCTCCATCTGTCGTCAGGTGCTCCATGGTACCCTATGCACACGCGGACCCGAAAAAAGCGCAAACCCTACTCCAAACTGCAGCTGGCAGAGCTGGAGAGCGAGTTCATGCTGAACGAGTTCATCACCCGGCAGCGGAGGAGGGAGCTGTCCGACCGCCTCAGTCTGTCCGACCAACAAGTGAAGATCTGGTTCCAGAACCGCCGTATGAAGAAGAAAAGACTGTTGCTGAGAGAACAGGCTCTCTCCTTCTTTTAGGGCTGAAACGGATGACAGAAAGCTGTACATTTCAGGACACGGGCATTCATGCCTTTTGCTGACCGTTCTTCACTTAGACTGTGGAATGATGGGTAGATTTCGAGTATAATGACAGCAAATGTTTTAGCACACTTGAAACTTTCAGACTGTAGACCAACAACCAAATAAGCTAGAAGAACAATTTCTTAGCTTGATTGAATGCTTCTGCAACGTAGTCACGTTTAAAAATAGAGTCACCCTTATGAAAAACAATAAGCATCTCATGGAATCCAAACGCGACGACAGTTTGGTCGAGACCAAAACCAAAAGCCAAACATAGCATACAATGGTACAGCATGTGAAAGTGTGAAATAATGTATTTTTTTCTCTTGCTTATGACCAAATTATCAGAAATTTTGCTTGATTTTACTTCACTTCTTAACTAAAAAAAGTGATGCATTGAATTTGCTTGATTCAAATGTGCAGTTTTTTGCCAAAAGTGATCAAACTAATGTTTAATGCTTAAAATTTACTGCATCGTGTTGATGTAATCTGTTTTAGAAGTAAAAAGTAAGTAATTGCATCGTTTTGTTCCCATTAAATTTCCAACCAGGCAAAAGATTTGAAACTCTCACCAGTCTCATTAACAAACTGAATAAATAAAACTAAGATTAATGCTAAAATTCCCCCCTTGGCTTGGGGTTCATTTGAAGATCTTTCCTTAATGGAAGCTGCATTATGAAGGACAAATACATATTTGTGCGGTGAACGATCTTGCGATCTTAATTCCACACCAGCTGTACAACAAGCACCAATTTGAATGTATCAAAATTAAAGACATGGGTTAAGTAGATTTTGTGCGTGGAAGGTAGGGTCAGAGGGTGGGGTCAGTGTCGGGCGTTTGCAGAAGTGGGCATACTTGCTACTATTTTGGGACGCAGTGTTGGTCAGCAGATTCTGGTCGCTTGGACGCTAATTGCGGTTCTGGGATCATCGCAATTCATCATCAGCGATTTTTTTTCTGCAATAATAAGACAGTGTATTGAATGTTTTCCTCCATCCTACTTTTATACAGCCTATATAGTATTCATACAGATGTTTATTAAACGATTTATTATATGTTATAAGCAAATGTTATCTATCTTAGGTCAAAGAACACGTCTAGACTGTATTAATTGGAAAGAAATCACCTTTTCTTCACTCCAGTGTATTAAAGTAGGAGAGGAAATGGGGACCACGACCCTTTCCCCATGCAATGGATAAAAATGATAAATCTGAACTGTTGTTAAAAGGTAAAGCATGTCTTCCACCAATCCTCGTCGCTTTGACCAAAGGCCGTATTGAGCAGCAGTTCATGACGGTAGAGACGCGAATTGTTGATCACTATGGCAAAGTGAAATCTTATTTTATGCATTTACTCGAGGAAAAAATGATCTCATGCACAAGCTTAATCATTATTTCAAGAGTAGCAAAGCTTTGTCCTAGCGCAGTATGTGCATGCATTAGCAGCTTAGTTGAATAGTTCAGCAGCTCTTTCTTCCTATTCTAATTTTTATAAGGCTTAAAAACAAAACTGTGATATTTGTTGCTACGATATATAGAATTGTCTTTGAATTATTGATGTGACGCCCTATTTCTCTTTCCTTTGTATTTGCAGCACCTCTTGTTAGTTTGTGAAGTCAATGCAAATGAGTGTATCAATGTGTCTATTAAAATCTGTAAACGTCTTTCTTGCCGTTTCATTGATTTCAGTTTCTTCTTCTTCTTTGCCCTACAAATCCAGGCACGTGCTTCTTTAACCCTCACTTCCACCACACGAAAAGCTCGTTCGATTTCGAACACAGATAGCCTTCGAGTTCAAACAAATCATTTTACGAGGTAGTGGTATGAGAAAAAGATAATATCAAATCCTGTTATAGCTCGTTTTATATGAATTGGCCACAGTAAGCAATGCCTTTACAAGACTGCAAAGAGGATGCAATAAAATAATACATCTGCAATGAAAATCTGTCTCCGCTGCCTCCTGCGTTCAACTGCTTGACTCAATAGTTTGTGTATTTATCAATATATAATACAGTGCGTTTAGCATTATGATGTTTTTTTTTTCTTTTTATTTTGAGGAAGATCCTTCAAAACACGGATACTACACACTTATTTCTTTCGTCAAAGAGAGAAGTATTATGCACAAGCATATATATGCATGTAGTGATTCCTGTTGGTTGCTAATCTTTGGACCAAAAACAACAAAGCAAGCAGCCTAGTGTAAACATGAATCACTTATCACAGCACGCTCTGCTCCGCAGGGATCCTTGCTGAATCGCGCTTTTTGTTTTTGCTTCTGAAAAATAAACCTGCTGGCTGTGCGTTCGTTTCCAAACAGTGACACCAACATTCATTCAGACTGATGTACAAACCAGTTACAGAACCAGTAACAGATGAATGTGCCTGTCTGTCCCAAACAGAAAAATCTTCAAAAATATACTGCACTGTAAAAGTTGCTAAACTATTTTTGACTACTAATTGCGTTGCATTACTCCAAAGTTTTATTTAAGTCGAATAAAACAAGTTAAACTGCTTGGTACCACGTGACGTTTTAGGTGGAAATTACACCTTTATTCACATTTTGCAAAATTTAGTTTTTCCATTCGTAAATAAATGCACACATAAGACTTGCGCTGTTATTGGCATTCTGTTTAATAAATGGGATTGGGAGTAGGATCACAGCACAACCCAAACCTCGAATGAAATGATTTAATGCTTTGACTTCGAAAGATAAATTACCTGGTTGCCTTAATTTTTAGAGTTAGTTGAATTTTAAATAATGAGGTAACACAATATAAAACATATTATTGTTCAGTTTACTTATTATTAGAAGTTCAAATAGTTCAACGTTTTAAGGTAACTGGGTTACTTTTTAAGTAACATCAAATACATTTTTTCAGTGCCTGCTAATTAAATGAAATTCGTTCGCACACTGTAAAAAATGGCTTGTCAATTCAGCTTAAAAAACGACTTCATGTAGCAACAAGTATTAACTACTTTTATTCAACAAATTCTTTCAATGTGTTTGTTGAGCTGAATCACACTAGTTCAGCTGCTTGTTACCACATTATGTAATTTTTTGATTGATCTGACGAGCCAATTTTTATAGTGCAGGAATATTTTTGGAACTTGATATTGTTCGTTGCACCAAACAAAGTGACGATGGCGCTTAATTCCACAAATATGACTAGAGCTACTGAATACATTTTCTTCTCTTGTTCACCGATGTAACAATAAAAAAATGCTGTATGAACTTTATTCAAGTATGACACACATTTCCATTAAATCAGGGCAGAGCGAGTTTAAACAGACTTTGTTACCTCAAAATAAAATTCAATTGTTCAAAAGAAAAAGAAACATTTTAGTGCAATTTATTTCAGTTCCATTGGAATGGAGTTCTTTTTTGCTCAACGTGAACAGTTTTCATTGACTGAAATGCTAACTAATGCTAGTCCCTTTTGTATAAAGGTTCCTTAAAGTAAACACAATCCGTGTATTTAATATTGACATATTCATATCTGTATTACTATGCATAATCAACCAATTATCGGATTAGCTATTAGCCTAAAGAGTCGTCTGCCGTTCTGCCATATACGAAGATATAGACAGATAATCCCTAAAAGTTGAGTTCGTTAAGGTACCTCCAAGAAAGATGGTCATTCTCAAACTTGTTTTGCACTTTCAACCTTTCTTGCGTTGGTCAGTCTGCACGGAAGGCGTTTGGCCTTTGGTATGCGTCCTAAATGCTTTGCGTATGGCGCGGTTTTGACTTTGAGACAGACTTTGGCCACTTTACAGCGGGTTGTCTGTGGTCATTGATTTGTGCCGTTGACGCAGACCTTGAATGTGGCAGTGGGAATGAGTGGCGCTGGTGAGGGGTGGTGTAGGGGGGCACAAAAAGGAAAAAAGGGGGCAAAAACAGATATTCTTGAGACTGTGGGTTGATGCATGCCATAAACCGATGCATTTCTCTTTCTAGCGTTTTCCATTGCGGTGTTCCTGTTCAGGAATCTATTCTATTAGTTTAGTTTAATTTCACATCCAGATGTTCAGCAGACGCCCGCTAGCCTTGCAGATACGGCCCGAGAATTCTAAACAAAGAAATGACAGAATGAAAGTGTATCTTTTTGATAAGGAATAGCGATTGTTCTTCGGTTTGTTTTTCATGTTTACATTGTAATGATTTGATCAGTTTTATTTCAACAAGTAAATTGACTTGTTTTGCGGCTGTGTGTATATGATAGTTATCTTTACGTTTGGAGGCAATATAGAAGTGTAAATATAATGTAACAAGCTGATATTTATATTAATAAAGACATAATAAACAATAGTGTAATAAACGAAGGAGTCGATAACGCGTACTAAATAGTCGTTGTCCAGCAAATTTGACCAAAATATTTCCATTTAACTGTATTTTACACCTCAAATCGGAAATACAGTACTACAATCTCAAACATTCAACAATTCTTGAAAGTAGTATACACAATAGTAATATTGCACAGGCAAATTAACCACGTGATGCAAACGAAGCGTTTGCATATCACAGTACATACAATTACTGACGCAAATAAAATGGAGAAAAACGTAACTTTGTAAAGCAATTATATTGCACCAGGATATATGTGCATATAAATATATATCAACACGATCCGATCATCTTTTTACACCTTTATACTCCCTGTTAATCCACACTTTCCAAAGTGCGGTAGATCGATGCTTATTTTGAAAATGCTCGATTTGTAACGCGATGTTTATTGTATTGTAGAGATTTTTGGGAAAATTTGTTTCATATTTAAAGTTCAGTTCAAAGTGTGTGTGTGTGCGTGTGTGTGTGTGTGTGTGTGCGTGTGTGTGTGTGTATGTGTGTGTCTGTGTGTGTGTGTGTGTGTGTGTGTGTGTATTGTGAAAGAGAAATAGTAAGTGGAAAAGAGAGAATCCCCGCGGTTTAATATGTGATCCACATTGTGTTGTTGTTAATATGGGACTCTCAAGCGCGCACGTGTCCATATTAAAGAGTTTTACTGAATGTAAACAGGCCTATATAGATTTTCATTGGAGGACTGGGCGTGAAGGTCTCCACGGAGGTGTAACATGCTTTTTTAATACCTGTTTACAAACTGCTTTTCATCGGTCTCAGTCGAAGTGAAAAACTCCTTTTAAACAAATATTTCTTTTTCCAGTGTGCAGGCAGTTTTGTGAAAGCCTTATTTTGTTCAACGCTAGCCGTTAACGTTTGCGCTCATTTCCGCGGCTTTGAAAATCCTTTCAGTGCGTTTTAAGATAATTTTGTTTTCAAATATACCAACAATATGTACAGCCTATATGCCAAACACAGCGTGACAGCCAAGCAGCAAACGTGGCATGTTCTTTACCCGGTTTAATCATGACTCACATGAATTGTTTTATGCTACATTTCGACGAGGAAAATCACTCACAAAATTAAACTGTTGTATGAACTTAATTTAGTTATGCCACGCATTTCAATTTTAATCAAACAGAGTCTGTATATATAGGCTTTGTTACCTAAAGATAAAGTTCAATAACTGGTGGAACAAAACAAACATTTTAGTGCAATATATTAACGTTTGATTGGAACCGAATGCTATTTGGATCAACATAAACAGTTTTCATCCACTGAAATGCACTTTCATTATTTTTTTGTCAATTTTATATTAACTAATTACTTTCAGAGAACGCAACATACGTATTTAACGGCGACACGTTTTCAGTTTATAAGTCAAACACACCCGTTGGTTCATTTTTAAAACTTAAAGCTTTTTTAGAGCTTTAAAGAAATGGATAAAACATACACTGTGGTCATTCGAAGTGCTTTACAAATTATGAAATACAAAGACAATTCAAATTAGAATTTTAAAAGTGACCAAATAAAGAAAAAAATGAAAAAGAAGAAAAATGATGAAATCTCTTTATGAAACCAATTTACCAAGCACACTGTAAACAAAGGTTTATCAGATCAAACAGAAAAAAAATACATGGATTGAAAGAATCGTTCATTCAAAGTATGTATTTAGATTGAATAAACTAGTTAATTTACTTGTTACCACATGAAGTATTTCTTTTAGGTTGAATTGACCACCCATTTTTTACAATGTATAAAACTAAATAAAGCAGCTAGATCCGAAAAAAACTCCAAAAATAGATCAGATTAGTTTCTAAATTAGATTAGATTATCATCCTTAAAAGCTTTCAAAAAATTAAAAGAAACAAGTCGCTAAATAAGCGTATATATGCCTGTATACGTCGGTGTAAATATTCTATATCATGAAGCACTGAACAAACTGGTGCCCAGTAAGCATATTTTAGCATTATGAAATGTAATGAATTATGGCCGATATGTAATTTCCAAGAAAAACAGTGCGAAGTCGCTCTTTTAGTCTTAGATACAGATATACAAAATCCCAACACACTGGCCGTCCGAAATGGCCATTGTTCGTGAGTCATGCGTCCATCTGCCCCACTGGAGGGAAAGATCAAGGTCCCCCGTGTTTTAGGCCGTCTATGTGGGCGGGAACCCACACAAATTGAAGGTCAAGTTAGTAAGCGCCTTGCAGGGGATTGTGATTTTGAGAAACCCTTCTGAGTTCACGGTGCTGAAGCCACAGTCCGAGGAGTCCAGCCCCAAGTTTCTGATAAGCCTCGGTCGGCTGTGTTTTATCTTTAATGCCTCGCAGGTATAAAGAAAGACTTACAGCGCGGTTAGATGGAGCGCGACAAGAGAGAGAGGGCACCGGGGGTGCATCTTGGAAGAAAGAAATTGTTTTGCAATAAGAAAAGAAGATGTCATATATTTAAAGTGATCGGAACGCCGACTTCAAAAGCAGAGAGCCTCCTTTGACCCGAGAGAAACAGTGTCCCGAGTCGGAGAGGAAATTAAACGTCATAAAGCCAGAGACTCAATTAGGGCCTAATGCTTAGCGCAACAGAATGCAGTAGGAAGCAAAAACGGATATTCGGTAAGAAAATGCAGATACCATTTCCTCTCTCATAAATCTGTTTTATATATCAGAGAAGAAGAAGAAAAAAAACACGTTGCTGCTTGTTTTTCTCCTTTAGTTTGTTTCCGGAAAGCAGTTCTTAGGAAAGTAAATTTCATTAGTTCAGAAAATAGATCCATCTTAACCTTTTAGCTAGTAAAGAGAGAAAAAAAGGCTAATTAGCGTTTTTTATCTTAGTTTATATCAATACCAAATAAAAACAAAAACTATGTCTGGTTTTATATTTAAATAGAAAAAATGCAATAATTATATATCTTTATCAATAATAAGGAAATGCGACAAAACTGTGATTATTATTGTGGATATTGTGGTCAGTCATTTTGTCAAACTGAGCCACATTTATGATATGATCCGTCTCGTCTCTGCGCTGAGGATGTTTCCCAGTATCGCGTTTGCACGTCGTCAAGGAAAAATTCACTGTGCTCAGGCTATTAACAGTTACTTAACGCACAATTTAAAAACAGTGGTCGCTGAAGTCCAGAGGAAGGGACATCTAAACTGGATTCTATTGGAATTTTCTTTATATAATAACATTTTGCATTGCTTATATAGTCTATTTACTTATTTGAAAAACAGTCTAATTTCATATATGCAATTTCAAGCGTCATCAGTAGGAGTTCTTGCATACTTCGAGAACAATTCTTTTGACCAAAGTGTGTCCAAAAACTTTTGTTTCGGTGTCATACAGTATAAAAGTGAGCCATGTGCTTGTGTACACTTGCGGTTCGAAAATAACACGTTCAAACAAGACTGTGGTTATGAAATGGCATGTTGGAATGACGTTTCTGGTGACTGTGTGAAAGTTGACTGTGATGGCAATTGTTATGCACAATTTAACAAAAAATTGTATTTAAAAAAACTATTTTCTTGACAGCAAGTGTTTGTTTACACATAAGTACTAATATAAACACAAATACAAACAACAACAATACAATAAGTTGTAATTTTATGCATGTTAACGTGGTCGTTCAACCATATCTAAACTTCTCCTTATTGCAGCCCAGTGTTATCATCCAATACACATGCTTCATTAAGTTAAATAAAAAGTGATGGTGATGGACTTCACAAATCGAAGCGATGGCCAGGGGCGACCAGGAGAAGATGTATGAAAATGAGAAATTCTTGTCACTTTTTCCATAATTTGTGCTTATTTCTTTTCATGGTAACGATATATACAAAAAAAAGTTGTCGCGTGGACACCCGCCAGCCAACACACAGATTGTTTAGATTCCATCAGCAGCACACTTGATTTAATTTAATGAAGGACTGATCAGATAAACCAGGCATTAGAAGATGACTGCAAATAACACCGGCCTTTCTCGAGAAGAGGTTTGGGAAGGGTTAAACGAACGCATTGACATAATTTGATTTTTTTTTTTAATTAATGTCTTTTTGTATTCATCATATCTGTATATACAAGAGGACCATTCGAGCCTTGCTAGAAGTGTATTTATTTGTTTGAACACCGACATCTACCCAATTCTTTTTTCATTAACACATTCCTTATATCCGTTAAAAATGATCAAATGTTCTTTGTTATATTTGCTACACTTAAAAAAAAGTTGTTGTTTTTTTTAATCTAGATTTATATTCGTATTTCTGTGGTTGCATCATTTCGCCGTGCATTTAACACTGAACACATAAGGACAATTAAGCCCTAACTCGAAGGCAGAAGCCTCTGGTGTTAGCGACGACTCTTTTGTTGATGCACGAGTCTGTTCACAGCTCATACAAGCGTATTTAATAGCTTGGCTTACATCCAATTAAAATGATCCGAGCCATGAGGGGACAATAACGTTATTTAACACGCTTGCCACGTTTAAAGCTTGTTTCAGAGCCGATTAATGCGCAGAGAGGGCGGTGGACGGCTATTCTGACCACTGTTGAGAGAAAATACGAGAAAGGTTTGATCTTCTTTTTATTTTACAGGTTTAATTTTTCGCTTTTGACGACGCAGAACGATTCTCACCGTTTTCGCTAACAGGACAAAGAGTGATGAGGCATTGCTTGCATTCGGCAGAAGCACCCATGTCGTAAACTGCTTTCCAACGGTGTGTTTTTTTCCCTTCGCACTCAGAATGGCAGATATTTAGCTCACCCTATAACGCTGAAAACCCAATTCTTACCGACGCTTCTTGTTGCAACTGGACTTCAATTCTCAAACACTTCAATTGGCAGAGTTAAAGCTGTATTTAAGAGTTAGCACCTCATGTATGCATTTTATGAGCTTGCTTATCGAGAAATGCATATTTGCCAGTGTTCATCTGCTGTATTTACTTGTACAAATGGTGCAAATAGCCGAGCTGTAGGAAGGCAAAGCCAGTGGACATAATTAAATGAAATAGGAAGCAATCTAAAGCGGCACAGTAGCTACCATTGTGGAATATAAAAGAGAGAAGGCCGCTTAATGGTCATGTCCGGAGGACGGTCTGAGGAAGAGGATGCGTTTTGTGTTCAGGCTATTTCTTTGATAGCTTCACTGTTGTCCAAGGACAGCTTATGTTGGCGCAGACATCAACTAATCTCCCATTCAAACCCCTTTTGAATCCATTTTTACTTAGTTATACTACAAAACCATACATTCTTTTTTGTTGTGCAACATTCAAGCCGCATCGAACTTTTGCATGTTTATTCAAAAAAACTTTATACCGGTAACAAATTGATACGGTTCGACAGGCCGCGGATAAAGAAGTAACCATACATTTAATTCAAGCATGCATATAGAGAATATCCTTCACATTCGGAAATGCCTCGACACCTATTTGGGATTTTATGGTAGGCTTGTTTCTCCCACGATTTTAGTGGTCAAATTCAAGGGCTGTCTGGACAGCTGTCTGGTTCCTTTGTACTTGTTTGAAGCCGTCCAGCCTTTTATCTGAGGCCATTTGTACCAACTCCCCAGTCCCCAGGCCTGCGTAACGTCAGTAAGGCAACCTTCAGAGCTGTATACACGAGGTGGCACCCTATTTTGCAGTTCTCCACATCAGCTTGAAGGTCAAATGCGAAAATTTCCCATTTTAAAGCAGAATAGGGCTTTTGCAGACAAAACGTGTTATATTTTTGACTTGCGGGCCGTTTCTGATTTCAAAAGCTGCAGTCAATTTTGCAGGATCTTTTATTAAGGCCTCTAATTCAAGGCTATATCTCAATGTCAGATACATTTTGGATTTAAAAAATCTACAGCGGTCCGTAAATACTGTTGGCTCAGATGGTGCGAGTTTGATGTTTAAGACACATACATGAGAGCTTAACAACTCTTTATGCATCAGATGGAAAGAGAAGTAATTCCGGACTCATTTGAGAGAGATCATTTATGAATTGGTGCATTTTTATAATTTGCAGTGCGCAGTAATTTAAATCAATCCCGAAGTTGTAGAAAGCACTTGGCTCAGTGTCTACAATACATATAAACTGAACATAGCAAAAAGTATAATTTAAAATTGTTCGTGCTCTGCAGGTTTGAGCAAAGATCCAAATTTCGCTAAGAGGATTATCTCAAAAACTATAAGCTTTTTCTCCGTTTTGCTTTATGTCGTTAGCAATGAGTGACAAAAAGTTTATTAAGAAACCATGAGTCCTCTATTCTTTCTTCATTAGACCCAAATGATGATGCAGAATGGGCCAAAACATGTGACGCATAGCTTATTATACAGATTGTTGCGTACCATGCGCTTTATAATTACTTAATTATCAAAATATACCAAGTATATATGTGTACATGTGCGTGTTAAAATGCTTGAACATGAGTTACTTTTTATATGCACTGGAGCGCTACAGCACTGCGCATGTGCTGTAATATTAGTTTGACTGAAATGTTTATGCGTTTCCATCAGCCAGAAAAAAAAAGAAAAAAAAAAAGAAGAAGTGATTACCGCAGATTTTCATAATGTTTCTGCGGTCTTTGAAAACCAATCGTTTCGGCCGCCTATATCTAAGCGAACCACTCCTCCAGCATGTAGGGTTTCCAAATTGATATACGACAATATCTACTTTCGATCACGTGTCTTAGGGCGACTTAGACGGAAAGCGCGTCATCTCGCATGCCCAAATTTTCCCCCTTCTGCAGTCCGGATCCAAAACATCTATCTGCGGTGGCGGGGAACGCGGCTTAGAACAATGTTTAACTCAGTCAATCTGGGCAACTTCTGCTCCCAGACGCGAAAAGAGAGAAGTTCCGAGTTCGGGGAGCGGGCAGGCTGCGCCTCCAATCTTTACCTCCCCAGCTGCACCTATTACGTCCCCGAGTTTTCTGCGGTCTCCTCGTTTCTGCCGCAGGCCCATTCGCGCCAGATCACCTACCCCTACTCCACGAACCTCTCACAAGTCCAGCCGGTTCGAGACGTGTCGTACGGGCTGGATCCGCCGGGGAAGTGGCACCACAGAGGGAACTATGCATCCTGCTACACGGGGGAGGACCTGGTGCACAGGGAGTGCCTTCCGCCATCATCCACCATGACGGAAATGTTGATGAAGAATGAAAGCGTCTACAACCACCACCATCACCACCACCATCACCACCCCGGCTCGAACCACCCGAACGCGGGCTTCTACTCGGGCGCGGGCAAGAACAACGTTCTCCCACAAGGCTTTGACCGCTTTTTTGAGGGCGTCCACTGCGGACAGGAGGCTGGCTCGCTGGAGAACTGTGCGCAGAAAGGCGACACCGACAAGCCGGATTCGGCACCTCCAGCCCTCCGTGGAAGCGGAGCCCCAGAGAAGGAGCAGGACAACGAGGAGGAGAACACGACGTCGGGCTCGTGCGCCTCCTCCACGGGGACAAAAGAGGACAACTCGTGCAAAAACGACCACTCCAGTAGGTATCCTCAGCTGTAAATGGGAGAGAGAAAAAAGAGGTGAAGGGACAAGCCCAGCGTTTCGTCGGTCAGATTTTATGTGGAGTTTTATAAGCATTCAAAGGATTTTATTATAACCTACAAAGCTCTTTCTTCCAACAAGAAGAATTTTTACGATGGGAAAGAGCTTTGAAAAAAGCGATATGTTACACACAGGCGAAGCTATATGCGAGTCTGTGAAATTTAAAGAGCGCTCTATTGTGACAAATGCTAACTTTGATCATGAACTTGCGCGAGGCGTTTTAAGGGATGTTTCGCCGTGCTGCCGAGGGTAAAAAGCAATTGGGCAGAACAGTGCTTTCGGCGACTGGCTGCTTAAGCCTAGGTGCAGTGTGGCTCGCTGATTGTATTTGAGCGGCTGCGTGGCTTCACATTTCATGCTAGTCGCTAAAAGCATCTGCAGTGTATTCGCAGTTAGCGGCATCAGTTTCTATGTACGCTTAAAATGAAAAAAAAATGATGCACAATTGCAGAGAAGACCAATACATCTGATACCTTTTTTAGTTTTAATGTTGAATAATGGCCAATAACAAATGGTTTCACTATTTCATGACAAATCGGTGGGCTTTATTCTGAATGTTATGTAAGAATTTTATGTAAGAAGAGGTTATGATTGAATTACTAACGTACTCTCCAATTTGTATCGACATTTACATTACAAATACACGCTTTGTTAGATCTGGCATGCATTATCGTACAACATACAAGGCGTTTCTAAACGTATGAAGTGAATTAGATTTGAGATTATTCTGCTACAGTTATAGCAAAATAATTATAGAAATCCTCACTATGACTGCACCAAGCTGCAACGAGCAACGGCCAAGTTTATTCTACTTAAGCAGCTGGCCAAGCAAGGTTGTATTGCATGCTTTGCTCATAAGAATAAGAATTGATAATGACGCAATATCTACTTATATATGTCATATATAATCAAGCTGTTGATATTGTTAATTAATTTTATCCACGGCCCATGGGCTTGCTACATATCTTCAGACCTGTGAGAATGAGGCAGGGAAATACTGACGTGTTAGTCTTCTACTGCAACCACTTAATGCGCTGTTTACGTGCTCTGTTCGCTTCATTATAACGAGTTGCCGCAAATATTAGAAACATGTGCAAGCACAATTCACATTTATTCCATACACTGGGCAATGTGTGTGTTCTTTACCGCTCATGTTTATGGGGGTAGAGCCTGCAACGCATTTGACCTTGCCCTCTGTTTTTTGTCCTCTCTTAAATTGTTCTAAGGTACCCCACGGACGAGGAAGAAGCGATGTCCGTACACCAAGTTTCAGATCCGAGAACTTGAGCGAGAGTTCTTCTTTAACGTTTACATCAACAAAGAGAAGCGGCTGCAGCTCTCCAGAATGTTAAACCTTACCGACCGACAGGTCAAAATCTGGTTCCAGAACCGGCGGATGAAAGAGAAGAAGTTAAGCCGAGACCGCTTGCAGTATTTTTCTGGTAACCCTCTTTTGTGAACTGTGAATGGCGGATATGTAATTTCCACAAAATAGATAAAAACGAGTTGTAATGAAGCCAGCAGCGAAGTCCCATCTTTGGATTGAAGCGCGTGGTCGTTGCACAGAACGATCGGACTCCGATGGAAAAGAATAGATTGTAAATTCAGTACTTTACTTTATAACGCCACCAACTTCAAACTTTGGAATAAGAGAAAATATTGGGGTAGATCTTCAGAAGAAAGCACGCGAAAGCATAAGGCGCTCATTTGCATCAAGTGAAGGGCCTTTTGAAGTTTTGATGTCATTTTGTTGCATATACAGCAGTAACATTTCATATTTCTATTATTATTATTATTATTATTATTATTATTATTATTATTGCCCAACGTTAGTCTTGCAGACTCTCCTTATTTACGGGGGAGTAGCTGCCGTTTTAAAGTTAAAGACACTATGCAATAGCTTTATCACCATTTGTGTAGTATTACTTCTTGTAAATATGTAATTTTATTTTCTTTTCTTTTTTTCCACTCAATTATCCGCTTTAGAGAAACGGAAAGCGTGCAAAGTGAAGGCTGCAGGGTTTTCTATTTCTACACCATTGTAAGCTATTGTTTATGCTTGCTGTTTACATGTAATGCAGTGAAAAGAGGAAGAAAGCGTCAAGTATATGCATCAAAAGTTAAGAATGTAACAACAATAAAGGAAGCGTAATTCCTAAATTGTCTCTCGTGGCTGGAAATTGAATTCAGTTAAGGCCTAGAGAAACGAGCGCAGTTATATGTTCTTGTACTATAGGCTATATCTTACAATGAGCAAGCATTAGTAAGATTCGATTTGTGGCGTGAACTCATTGATCATGTAGGCGAAAAGCCGTAGGCAAATAGTATAAAGACGCCCTGTGAAGAGGGGATATCAACAGCATGCAGGAACACCAGATGTATGCACCAACACCCAAAGCAAGCCACAGATCTAGTCAGAAAGTCTCACAGCGCTTTGTGGAAGATTGATGTTAAGCATAAACAAGCTTTAAAAGCAGGATAGCCTGCTGTAATTGGAAAATCAGAGAGCGTTTCCCCTCGCAAATCAAAAGCTGTGAAAAGTCATAACTGCTCATGCCATTTGGAAGTTCCTTGAGCTAAAAAAAGGTACAGCTAATGAGGCTTGATTCATAATTTGTCATGGTTGAGCAGCCGCATTGTCAGTCTAGCTAATTCTGAGCGAAGTGTCTGCAAAGAATTAAGGGAACTTGCGAGGGCGAATTGGTTTGCGTCCAGGTATGACCCTCATATAGCCTAGAGAAAACACGTGTGTGTGTGTGTGTGTGTGTGTGTGTGTGTGTGTAAAAGTCTATAGGAGTCTGCTAAGGGTGGGCACTAAAAGAAATTTCCAGCGGTCATTTGAAAACACGTCCAGTCTAGACACTGTCGTAAATGCACCAGCACTAAATGGTATTTTTTTTCTCTAAATTGCACCTTCTGCTCTGAGGAATGAGATTCCTTCCGCCGTAAAAAAAAGCAGGGATCGATACTGCAACTAATAAATGGGAAACAACGAGTATTTTCCATTTAAAATAATTTGATTTACCTGCATTGTCCACTCATTTAGAATATAGCGAGGGGCATTATTCAGTGTGGAGGTTTTGACAGAAACCTATTTGATGGTTTGATTTTCAAAGCCATGTGCTGCACTACACATCTCTTAAAGCTAAGTGAGAGCATAAGGTTGCATTCGTTTGGGTACAAATATGGGATTTGTACCCGCAAATACGGATTTGTTGACTTCTTTTTTCAATACATAGCACAAAGATCTACAACTTCAGATTTGTTGAACTTCCAAAACACGGCGTGATAACAGGATCTGTTCAAGGTCCGAGCTACTCCAATGCACAAATTGTCTTTGAACTTCCGCGAAGTCAAGGCCAGCACCTTTAACCCCGCGTCATAAAGCGCCATCTAAAAGCTTCTATGCTCCCGGAAATATGGGCACTGAGTGAGTGGAGGACCAATGGGGGATGAGAGCAGGAAAGTGGAGAGGAAGGAGGCGTAAGGAAAAGTCAATACTGGCGACCTTCCCATGGCAGCAGGTAATCTCCGTTATTTTCTAAGGCCACGACAAAAAAGAGAACATATGACTAAATAACAATTATAACTTGGTTACATTTTGAATACCAGCTTAGCTTTAAATATGATTCGTAAAACACATTTTATGTAATGTCAAAGCAAATGCTTTGATTACAATAGGCTTAAGAAGTTGATCTCAGTTAATTTCATACAAGATCATCTTAAAAGTGTTCCAATTGCTCACCAGCATTTTATGGTGGCTGAACAGTGACTTCAAAGCGAGAGACCAGGCTGGTAAGAAAGTGGTTGATAAGAAAGGAATGATAATATTCTAGATGGTGACCATATTACATATGAAGCCAAGACAAAGTTGGAGCTATGTTAAGGAGTCTCTGTATTTGGAATATATATCTATACCATCTCCAAAACATGATCACCATGTTGAATCTACAAAATCCTGGGACCTAATGGACCGAATGGCAATGGCCTAGATCGAAGTTCCCACCAAGGCTGTGAAAAAGCTCATTGAACATCTGGGTAACATTCATCTGAGGTCAATGGATTGTGTGTCAACTTCTGAATAACATTGTAAAGCCATCATCCTGGTGGTAAGAGGAGAAGGGAGGTGGGCATTGCAAAATGATTAGGTACAATGATTTGGTTTTACAGGATAAAACGTAACTTCAGTTTGCTGAATGTGTTAATGAGTAGGCTCACATGTTGGAATTTGATCAACCTCCTGTGAAGGCTTACGGCTAAACATTTTACAACCCTGTACCTAGAAATGGACCATTTCAGGTTTGAGGTTGATTATCTCAGAACCGGAATGTCTGCTAAACGGAGAACAAATGTTGATGTGTAATTCAAGCGAGTAACGTACCTATAAAGTTCAACATTACTAAAATTTGGGATTTTCTAAAATAAAGATAGGTAGATCACTTTATTAATCCTAGAGGGAAAGCTGTCTATTAAAGCAGCATAAAATACAGTAAAGAGCAAAACAAGAGCAAAAATATTGTCGTACACTATTATACAGATGCATAAACATAATAAAATATACTAAAACAGCCATAAAATATAATGTGCAGCAATAGTCCACTGCCTCATGAGTTTCGAAGTCACACTGTGGGTAGAAAATGGCAAATGTTCCATTCCTGTTGTTATTTTAGTTTTCAATTTTAAAAACAACTTAATGGTTCATGAAAAACACCAGTAACACAATCTTTGTACAACGTTGTGAAGCTGCCACATTTTTCAGAAATATAAAAGCAATTTCACTATGAACACCATGACCTTCTCAGTTTCTTCCTTTGAGGCATCCATAATGACATTTTATGTTTCTGCAACACCACTGACAAAAAATCTTGGGCCAAGGTTTATTATGAATAATTACACTCTCAGAGAGAAGGGTACTAAACTGTCAAGACTCTCAAGCATACATCTTCAGCACCTTTAGTTAGGGAATATAACTGTGCCATATTCAATGGTAATTATACATTTTTTAAGTTGAATTAATTCCATACAACAGTCTTGACTTCAGACTTAAATTTCCTATTTTAAAGCATTAGGTCTTGTCATGAAAAGCTACAAATATGCACATTTCATCTTAAAAAGTAAATGCAGTGTATCTTTGAAACTGGTTTAACATAACTGGACCTCAAAACCATATGCTGAAAAAATGGCACTATGAATTGATTGTAAATTAACAAAATGTTACCTGAACACAATTATTGCCAAAACACATCAAATTAAAGAAAGCAATTGTGTTTGTGTAGCTTGTTTTCTTTTTGTGCAACTACTTGACACAATAAAATCATGAACCATTTTTTCAGTCTACCTTTGAAAGAACACTGCTTGTTCTTTGACAAATAAAAATATACCCCCTTTTTCAGACAGTACATGTTTAGATGTTGAAAATGTTTTTTACGTAATGCAACCATTTTAATGCATTTTTGCACTTTACAGTGAAAAAAACACTTTAGCATCTGGGAAGTCACTGCTTTTTTCATACACGGCATGGTAAGTCATAAAAAAAAATAAAAAAGAAAAATTGCGTAGTTTTTGTTTGGTTAACTTAGCGATAAAACAAAGAATTAACAAACGTCAGCGTTCTGTGGTTTTATCTCATTTTGACCTCATTGTCATGGCTTTAAAGTCACACACAATGGTGCATTCTTTAAAAAGATGGTTCTTTAAGGGTTTTTTCTTTTTTGGTAAACACAATGGTTTTATTTAAACCATGAGTTGAACAGTTTCATGCTCAAATGGTGATGGTTTTCTTCAGATTGACGGAGAATGTGTTATATTTAGTTCTATAAGGAATCATTTTGAAAAAAAGGCTCGATGTAGCACCAAAAAGGGTTCTGCTATTGTTACGATGCTAAGCTTGTAACAATAGAAGAACACTTTTCGGTGCTATATAGAACCATTTTCGAAATGTTCTATACACAACTCATGGTTCTAAATACAACCTTTGCCTTTACTGAAGAATCCTTAAAGAACCATCTCTTTAAGTGTGTACCTTTGTACACATTCTCTCTTTGGAAAGAGAGAATGCGTTTGTGTGCGCAAATGAGTGAATGAGAGATCAAGAATCTCAAACTTTTACGCTCGCTCACTCCCTGCCGGGAGACTTTGGCTCTGGCCCCAAATTTTTCACGACTATGTACTGTTTCTCCAGCATCAGGTTGCCAGGCCTCTCTCTCAAAGCCCGCCTCCTTCATCTCCTCCTCGACGCTTCTGCCTATAAGGCCGCCTCGTCTGGATCCCAGCTGAGAGATGGCGCTTTCACTGGCGGCGTCCTGCGTCACTCAAACTGTTGTACATAACTGAACTAATGTTGTAGACGTCGCTTCAAGGGAGGAGCCATTAAACAGTGCTGTGAGTGATCGCTCCTGAGCCTAGAAAAAGACTACCTCCATATGCTTGATATATGAGCTCAGATCTGGTGCTCCAAGGCAACGCTCCTGCGATAAGCAAGATCTGTTTTTG